ATTCGTCAGCGCGGGTCCGACGGCTCAATCTATGTGCTCGTGCACGTTGACGACATGCTGGTGGCGGCACACAACCTGCAATTGGTCGCGGCCGCCAAGGCGGCCATAGCTGGTTGCTTCGCAGTACGAGACCTTGGAGAGGCGCGCTACTACCTCGGCATGGACATCATCCAGGACCGCCGCAAACGCAGCATCATGCTTACGCAGCACAGTGCTGGGCATCACTTAGATCGCCAGAGGAGGAGTGCTGAGGGCTTTGAGGATCGGCCTCAGTTAATTCCTTTTTTCCAAACGCCAAAATGGCCTGTTTATTACTTTTAAGGAATATATTACTTTAAAAAAAGACACTGAGCTGAGTACCGGCCATAGAGGGCTGTCCTTGCTGCTGTGAATTAATGCGAAAAACGATAGTCTTCAAACCGGTAACCAGCCCCGGTTACTGCCCAGTAACGATCAACCTGGTAACCCAATCGTAACCACCCCCATTAACGACCCCCGGTAACCATCCACCTGGTAACCGGTCTCCGCGTACCCCATTAACGGCCACAATTGCCCGATAACCGGGCAAGTCTATGTGGTAGGGATAGCATTATGAAGCAGCCGCAGACACTGTCCTCGCACACATATGACGCACTCCATCATGTTGTTGCGTGGCTATTTTGACAATTGCATACATCTACAGATATGGATCCTTACCAACCAGGTGATTGGTGTTCGGCTATCACCGTACGCGTCACAGGTCTATGTATACATGCCCGGATGATCAATTGATAGAGCCCCGAAGCATTCAATTGATGTGTCCATGCAGAACATTTAATTTCGAAATTCGAAGAGAAGTCTCTTCGTGGGACTTCCTAGCTCTGTCTGGTCTTTCATACGCCAGCCTAGTAAAATATGCCTGGAATAACGGAGCGACAAATATGATGGAGCACAGCAATGCTTCTTATGCAGCTAAACATACAGCGCCTGCCGCTGTTGCTGCTGCTGCTGCTGGCGAGTTGCTTGCATTAACTTCCCCGCACAGCCATCAACGAAGCCCTGGTGTTGTTACCGATATCGGTATATCGATAGCAGTACAAACGTTATCATTAGCTAGTTGTAATCTGCCCAACTCGGCCAACCCAGCCAAGCGTGAAACCCGTCCATTACGAGGGTACTACTCTAGTAGACCTCCATCTCCGTGATGTGAAGGAAGTCACCTGCGGCATGCAGCAGTGCATTACATGTGTGAAGCGCATAGTGCACCCGCTTGCGCAGTTTAAATCATTTGGCAGGAGGGGTCATCAGATCCATCAGATATTTATAGTCGACAGCGTGTACTTATTTATTGCATGCATGTATGTATGTACCACAAGCATGCATGCATGCTTTGCGGGTGAATGGGGTGACGACGAAAGTAAAGGCAGGGGATGGCTACGGATTTTCAGAAGCATGCACGCAACTACGTTTGGACGATGTTCTACACTTGCGCCTGCCTCGCTGCTGGTATGCACTTAGCTACTAGCTAAAATTTTTGATCGTCTATAAATCGTGCCCTGGTATATTATTAGATAGGGACCGTCCATTCTATATATTATACTAGCTGGGTACGACCTTTCGACGATCAAAAAGTTTACAGCCGTATGGTACCAAACTAATGATGATGCCGCCGGTATCGCCATTTCTATTCACACAAGCACACGCACCTCCTTTGTTTTGGAGTGTTACCCAGCGGCCCTCATACGGCGGGGAAAGTTTGATTGTATACACGGCTCCAGTGGTGCCAGCACCACCAAGCGTCCAAACCAAAGTGTTCTCAGGAATTCGCCATCCATCTGCCAGCGCGGAGATGGGGACAACGCCGACACGGACCTCTGCATTGTAGAGCCTGGAGCCGCAACAATCTTGGCGGTTGTAGATGACGATCTTGCTAACGCTGTAAATTGCCCCAAGGTCGATCGAGAGCCAAGGTGTGGTATCATTGAAACCGCTCTGGAAAATGGAGGTCTTGTCACCATTGACAGCGAGTGTTGGACCTGTTGTGTCTGAGTAATAGCTGGATGCGTACACCTGCTTGTTCAAAGCAAGGTTGAGCGGACCTGCAACCATAAATGAGTGAGCGTGTACACACATAAACATACATATACACGACTAATACATGACCGGCGGGTAGTAAGGGAAGAAAGCTACACTCGTCAACTACACTATTACAGCAGCACATGCAGCAGAGACATGTATGAAGCATTGAAGCGGCCCAGGCCTGCTGCTGCGTTCCATGCATGTTAGGCCTTGCTGCTAGCCACCTCACTGGCATACATTACTACCCCCTCCACATAAATAGTTGCCAGTGTAATCTAAGTCGTACACATACACACATACATACATAGTGTAAGGTGGTTGCAAGGTGTCTTGTGGTGTCGAGCTCTCTTAGCCTTTCTCGGAGGTTTTTCTTTTTTGGCTTGTTAGGTGTATCAGGAGCTCTCCCCTGCCGGGACTGACCTAACCGTATTCTTATTTTCTGTTTTTTTCCCTTGGCATCCCGTTGTCAGTGGTGGTGTTTTGGGGGGTTGTTTCAGAGAGCCTTTGACTTTGCCCTAGCTGAGACATGTGGACTCGCTCTAGCGGGACCTGAGAGTCCTTCGTGGTGTTTTCACTGCAGCGCCATCCCCGGATGGAGGTGCTGCGGAGTGGCTGCGTAATGTGTTGGCAGTCTGAGTCGGGGTCGGGAGCACACAAGACTAACCGACTTGTGCTGTGTGCACCCGGCCCCCCGCGCTGTGTTTCGGCCCTGGGCCCCCGGCTTTTCAGCCCACAGTGTAATCAACGTCATACATACATACATAGTGAGCTCTTTGCGCTCTTTTTGCGTGAGGAATTTTGAGCTTGGTGACGCCGCTGGGATGACTCGTCAGGCTCCCGGTCGCCCAGGTCCTGGTTGCGAGCTCTCTGACTTGCTCAGTTCATTCGGTCGGCAGGAAGAGCCCCCCGGTTGCGTCTTCGTTTATGTTAGGAGACCAGCGGGCATAGATCCCGTCTATCTGGAGCGCCAACCCCCGGAGGGGCGCGCTGATGTGTGCCTGCTGTCGTTTTCCGCGCGGCCTGACCCGGGGGCGGAGTGCATGAGATTAACCAGCCGTGTGCACCCGCCCCCCGCGCTGTGTTTCGTCCCTGGGTTTTCCCGTTTGAGTACTTTTCAAGTTAGACCCAATGCTGTGGAAGGGCGTGGGCTAGTGCGGTGTTATCCCACCGACGGGTGCTATCTCCCCTGGACTAGCCCAGGGAGGGAGAGGCGGAGGAGGGTAGTAGTCTCAGGAGGCTGTTAGGCGTCTTGTGGTATGAACTCTTTGCGCTCCTTTTGCGGGGGGATTTTTGAGCTTGGTAACCTCCCCAGCCCGGGATGACTCATGGGTATTCTTGCAGGGCGGGGGCCCCCTGGGCGCTTCACGCTGGGGCCCCGCCCAAAAGAGCCGTCATATAGCATTTGTTATGGATCATATATTCTGGTGCTGACCCAGGCTCGAATGTCGTATGAAGCTGTTTCAGCGCGGGTTGTACTTAAAGCCGCTACATGTGGACCCTGACTTTGACAAATCATCGATGACGTCCTCTTACTGTAGCGTAATGTCGTAGTATCTTGAGCATATCACGGGATCTGAATCCATTATTTCTGAAAAACTCGTGGTGTAACAGTACTTAGGACGTAGGTAACGAGTCTCTGTATACAAATTTATCTTATCCTGCCTATATTATTTACTGATGGTGCATACTACTGCGACGCTGGCCGTACCAGGTTGAAAAACAGGAGGTGATGGCGGTCGAGGTGACGGTGGTGGTGGTGGGCTGAGGGGCGGTGGTGGAAGGTATGTTGACGGAGCACCGTATACCTCCAATTCGCTGATGCTTATAAGCATGTTGTGTGCTAATTAGCGGTTCGCCTGCAATCAAGGATACGCACATATGTACACACGCACACATAAACACAGACGGGTGTTAAGTAGAATGGGCCCTGCACATGTTTGCCACAATGGTTAATAAACACAAAGCCGGCAAGGCACATCGGCCGGCAAGTGGCAAGTTAGCACTTCGGTCGATAGGGTATCATGCACTTGTGTGAGTCAGTCAATAGGTACTTCGTGCCCTTTAATATTAGTAGCATTAACATAGTATTAAACCTAATATTATGTTAATGATATCTGGAAGCTCTGCCAGTATGATGCGTGCTTTTGAAGGCAGCTCTACATGCACACATTTATAGCTGCATGCACCAACCTCGGGGGTGAAAATTCTGCAATGTAACCCAGCGGCCGGTGACTCGTGGTGAGATTGTGATCTGATGGACAGCGCCTGTTGAACTTCCTCCTGAGAGCGTCCAGACCAATGCATTAGAAGACAACGGGATGCCGAAAGTTCCACCATTCATGTTGCCAATACGGACTTCCGCATTCCACAGTTGTGAGCCGCAGCAGTCGAGCCGGTTGTAGATAATGACACGGCTGACAAGAAAGGGAGCACCCAGGTCGACAGCAATCCAGGGCGTGGTGTCGCCTTCTGCTGATTGGAAGGTGGCGTAGGTACCGTCCTGCTGGTTTTTAATGGTGGTCTTGTCTCCGTCCACAGCAATGGCACATAAGGGGCTGGTAAACCACATCGATGGCGCATAAGGCGCTGAGAAGACTGACGATGCGTAAATCGGCTTATTCAGTGCGATATTGACAGAGCCATCGAGCCTGCCTGCGTGCACGCATGCAAGCACACATAATGATGAAGTCTTCAATCGCAATCTATTCAGGACATTTAGCAGCAATTAGGTCGACCGGATGTGTTGATGTGTTTGATGTGGGCAGAGTGGGCTAGACATGCTAGACAACAAAATCAGCGGCATGCTTACCGGCTGGCGTGTGGCATGCAATACGGGATGCGACTCTAGCGATGCCTATCTAGTGACCTCTAGTGACCAGAACTGCGAGCAATAACAATAGAGGTGCCTAGCGAGAAGGAGGGCCCCCAGTGCCTAATTAGTACGGTTAAGGAATTGATTATCTGCTTCTAATTGCGGCATGTTTCTACTAGGAACACACCAGGCCAGGCCAGCCAGCAGTGATCTAAGCCGCTGCCTGCCATGCATGCGAGTTGTAGGACAAGATACACACCATTAACACATTTGGTAATAGCTTCAAGTTAAGAACGCTATGACATGTACATGTGAGCCTGCACATGGCGCAACGTGGAATTTGCAACCCACTGCCCGAGGGTACGTGAAGGTAGGCACAGGCCTGTGCCCACCTTCACTAGCAGCCTAGACTGCTAGTGTGGTCGAGACGTTTTCCTCTAGAGGGAGGGGAGTGCTGTAGCACACACCACCAATACATATACATGCTAGAGCACGATCCCAGCATATCCATAAGGCCTTTTTTGGAGTCCAGCTGTAGTAGCTGGTACACAGTACGGCTCTATAAATACTCGTGCATAGCGCGACCACCAGCATCTCGAGAGGCCTTTTCGGCGGCCAGCTACTACATTTGGTCGCCATATCGAGACCTCGTGAGGATTCACGATCCTGATGTCGTCGTTTCAACCCCCACCAATCACGCTTGAGTGGAACATCGGGTTTGGCGACACAGTGAGCGATTATCGCGAAAAACAAAATGTAGCTGAACCGACTGGATTGTCTCTGTGCCTGAAAAACCTGAAGACGGCTAGGCGCATGTGAGGCCGGCACATGTCGTGACGTGGATTGAGCACCCATTGCCCGAGGGTAGGCGAAGGTAGGCACAGGCTGGTGGTATACGAGGCTCTAAGGGCCCAAGACGGATCCTTTCAAAGGGGGGGAATCAGTGTATTTTTTTTCCGTAATATATTACGGTTCCGTAATAAAATGGCATATTTGCGTTCTGCGCTCCGTCATAGACCATGGTAAAGGCCTGGTACGGTCGTTACGGAGCCGGGCGGGCCGAAGGCCCCCAGAGACGTTCTATTTTAGTATAAATAAGTTATAAATGAGCGATGGGGCCCAAGAAATTAACTACTATAGCTGGTCAGGGTAGCGTCAAAGCATTCCTGACCACCGGCAGGCCAAAACCCAGTAGCGGTGATGCTGGTAACACTTCAAACAATATAGCGAGTACAAGAGAGACATTAGAACCAGATGACAGGGTGCCTCCCGCACGGCGCCACGCTTCAGCCAGTCAATCCCACCAACAGCCTGTTGCAGGCCAGGAAGCAGCTCAGGCACACCAGGCTAGACGCCCGGAGCCGGTTGTATCACCATCGAAACGACGTAAGCTCAATGAGCCATCGGCTGGCTCTGCTGGGGCAGGTCCATCAGGCACACTGCCAGCGATGTGGCCAGCAACGCGGCTGGCAGAGATTGTGTTTGTGATGGTGCCAGGGTCAGTGGAGGATGAGAGGCGGTTCTCAGCAATGTCTTTCGTCAAGAATAAGCACCGCAACCAGCTTGATAAGCATCTGGGCCTGTGCTTGCGTATGTTTGCCCAGGACTTCTACACCCGCTCGTCCTTCCCGTATGACAAGGCGGTGGAGAAGTGGCTGCAGAGGGCTGAGAAGCGTGGCCGTTACATGCACAACTGACGAGCTTGCTATGCCCTGGGGCATTGTACTGGCTGTGGTGTCGTGGTGAAAACGTATGACATAATCCTGAACGCATGTGGCAACGGACGGAAACAGCTGAGACTCTAATGAAATATTTATTAAATATGTGCTGGTGTATCAGGTACCCTGTGTGGGCAGGGGGGGTCTGGGGGGGCTTGGCCCCCCAGAAAAAAAATTCTGGCAGTAATAAACGTATTGGACTGATGGCATATTTATTACGGAACTCGTAACAGATCCAGGATCGGCCTCCACGAAAAAAAACACACTGGGGGGAATGTAGTAGCTGGTACACAGTACGGCTCTATAAATACTCGCGTGTAGTGCGACCATCAGCATCTCGAGAGGCCTTTTCAGCGGCCACCTACTACACCAGCTACTAAACCTCTTGAGTGTCCCCATCCATCCTCCCCTGCTGTTTGTGTGGTAGGATAGAACGAGAGTGAGAGTTGCCGGGAGATGTACTCATGCAGGCGTTTGAGTTAGGCGAGGTAGCATGCGCCCTTGAGCCCTTCAGCTCGTATGACTAGTTCTACAGGTATGGGGTCACGCACCCCAACCATGCAACACACACAGACACACACACATGTATGCACGAGGCAATAGCGACCCTGTGGCAGACATCACACAGTATGTATGTATGTTACAGGGTGGTATAGCTTCACCAGCGGCCCCCTTTCCCGAGGCAGTTCCCTGCTCTCCCCTGCGAGAGGGGCACCCTAATCCATTCACCCCATCCGACTTCAGAGTGTATTCGTTGGGTTCAGCAACTCACCACCAGCATCCAATCAAATCTAGCGGATCAACGGCGCCTCAACTTAGTTCCTGGTCAGCTCGCAAGTTGATATAATCACGTCCTACACCGTCCATAAGATGGGGGACCACCTCCCAACACCCCTCAAACACCCGAGGAGTCGGCAGGCGAATTTGAACCCGGACACTCCGGGAGCAGAAGTCAGGCCTTAATCTCTGCTAGCCGCCTGCCTAAATGTATGACATCGGGTGGGTACAAATCATCAACCCGGGTTTTCCCCCTCTTCCCAGTTTGCATTATTTCTTGGCTTTGTAGTATCCTGGGTATCACGGGATCTACACCTGCCAATCGGTTCTTCTCTGAAAAAGACGTGATACAACAGGCTTGAGGACATTTCAACGTGTGTGGGCCTCCCATCTACCTGCAAAATTGTTAATCGTGTGTAGATCGCACCCTGGTATACTAGGATGGACGGTCCATATAAATCTAATATACCAGTGCACGACCTGTAGACGATCACAAATTTTACAGATGAAGGGCGATGCTGGTGCGGACTGCAAGTTGCGGGACCCGCAGCCAGGCTCAGGTCAATACTTACATGCATGTACATGTACGGATGCATATGTATCACGCAAATGGCGTGATTCATTGTGCATATTGATACATGTTACTAAGTTAGCCGCTACTGGTAAGGCAGGAGATCCCGGGATCGGAACCTGTCAGGGTCGAAAATCCTTCCAATGGTGGAGGGTAAAGTGCCCCTAGTCGATGGACGGTGGTGACCTGGGTTAAAGTGATTTTGTGAACCGACCAGGAAAGGAGTTGAGCCGTTACCGATCCGGCAGATTCGTTGGATGCCGGTGGTAGGTGTGGAACCGGAGTGATCCACTGAGAATTTGACTAGGACGACTAGATGAGGGTGCCCCGAAATACAGGGGAAGGCAGGGTTTCGCCGGGTAGCTGCCACGGGTGAAGATATGCCCACCTGTTCCACATATCGTATGTATGCATAACAGTGTTTTTTTTTTCGTGGAGGCCGATCCTGAATCTGTTACGAGTTCCGTAATAAATATGCCATCAGTCCAATACGTTTATTACTGCCAGGATATTTTTTCTGGGGGGGCAAGCCCCCCCAGACCCCCCTGCCCACACAGGGTACCTGATACACCAGCGGGAGGCGCCCTGTCATCTGGTTCTAATGTCTCTCTTGTACTCGCTATATTGTTTGAAGTGTTACCAGCATCGCCGCTACTGGGTTTTGGCCTGCCGGTGGTCAGGAATGCTTTGACGCTACCCTGACCAGCTATAGTAGTTAATTTCTTGGGCCCCATCGCTCATTTATAACTTATTTATACTAAAATAGAACGTCTCTGGGGGCCTTCGGCCCGCCCCGGCTCCGTAACGACCGTACCAGGCCTTTACCATGGTCTATGACGGAGCGCAGGACGCAAATATGCCATTTTATTACGGAACCGTAATATATTACGGAAAAAAAATACACTGATGCATAACCTTGATCGTCTCTGTAGTAGCCGGTACACCGTATGGCACCGTGAACAACTACAAAAACGCGCTCAGCGCTCCACCAGCATCTTGAGAGGCTTTTTCAGCGGCCAGCTACTACAATCTCTAGTGCAGTGCATGGCCAGCTGGCCCGCTGGCTCTACTCTTCGTGAGTCTGGAGTCCACTGTAACAACCACAACACACATCTGTACACTCTGGGAAAAGGGGGGTCATTTTACCCGTAATTTTGGGTCAATCCACCCGTAATTTGACAGAAATTACGGGTCCGTAACACGTTACGGGTCCCGTAATTTGAGCACAAGGATACAGGTGAACATTTACGGGTGAAGACCCAGTGATTACGGGTGGATTTTACGCGGTGCTGGAGGTGAATTACGGGCGCATGTAACCAATTACACGCAAACTTACGGGTGAAGACCCAGTGATTACGGGTGGATTTTACGCGGTGCTGGAGGTGAATTACGGGCGCATGTAACCAATTACACGCAAAATTAGGGGTGAAGACCCAGTGATTACGGGTGGATTTTACGCGGTGCTGGAGGTGAATTACGGGCACATGTAACCAATTACACGCAAACTTACGGGTGAAGACCCAGTGATTACGGGTGGATTTTACGCGGTGCTGGAGGTGAATTACGGGCGCATGTAACCAATTACACGCAAACTTACGGGTGAAGACCCAGTGATTACGGGTGAATATTACGCGGTACTGCAGGTGAATACGGCTGCTGGCGGCCCTAGGCTTCACCCTCAGCCTGTCCAAGTGCCAGCTGATCCCAAGAAGGCGAGTCTGTTTCTTGGGGATGGAGGTGGATGCGGAGGCGCAAGCATTCAGAGTACCAGACGACAAGCTAGCTAGATTCCGTACGCTGCTCACACAGCTCGAAGGCAAACGGCTAACAGCGCGGCAGGTGGCGCAGGTGGCCGGCAAAATCATCGCCATGACGCCCGCCGTCACCACGGCACCCCTGTATGCGTGGATGGTGTGGTGTGTAGCCCGGGGCGTGGCGTGGGACGAAGAGGTTTGGGACCCGGCGGAGGTGCTACACCAGGCAGGCTTGTTTATGGAGCTGCTGGGCAGGCGCAACGGGACAGCCACCTGGCGGAAAGGACCAGCCCTACGACTGACGACGGAACTAGTCGGGGACGCCTCAGACAGGGCCTTCGCAGCCTTCTTACCTGGAGAAGAACTGGGCGCCAACAGCCGCATGCTTGTGCCCTTCAAAGCTCAGGAAACC